CTAATATAATTATTTTTTTGTGTTGAAGTTGATATAATATTGTTGTCTGATAAGAAGTTAGAAAAAGAGACAAAGGGGTCAAGAATGAAACCACGCCAGAGAGGAATCCTCGTTTTGTCCCCAAGTTATGTTGATTCTTAACATTTTTTTTTCTTTTCCTAATGCTTTTCCAGTCACAACCTCTATGCCCTGTTCACTGACCACGAGCTAATAGCTATAAGCAAATCAGGATCTTAGAATGTTAGAACTAAAAGGAACATTAGAAGTTATTTGGCTCAGTTTTAAAACTTGTTTTTTTTTTTTCAGTCTTGGAATATATATATTTATTCCATGAAATCTTTACAGAAGCCCAATAAGAAAAAAGGAAGGAAGGAAGGAAGGAATAAGAAATGAAGGATGTGCAATAAATAAGGAAATAAATAGGATAAATAGATGAGCGGGTCACAAAGCACAGAAAACTAAAGAAGGCAGACTTTCTGGAGGAATTGGTACAGAGTTGATTAATTCTCTGGTTCCCAGAAAATTAGTTCTCTTCTAAAAATTCCCTCTCTCCCTTTCTCTGTCAGTAGGTCTTGATAATTTCTACCCTCTAATTGGTATTCAGCTATTCTATAAATTACTATTTAACCACCTATTCTATAAATTACTATTCAATTAACTATAAATTAAATAGTAATCCCCACCTGCACTCCAAGGCTGGAAAAAAATATAGAAATTTGAAATTGGCTTAAAACTCTTTTTATTAGTCCTGTGTAATAAGTTAAAAAAAGTTTAGAATAATATAGAAATTAAAGTATCAGAGAATGTTTGAAACAATGGCAAAGGAAGTAAAATAGTTCTCTGCTTATCTATTTATCTAGTATAGGAATTTGAGTTGAAAGTTTTGGGTCAAATATTATTATGAGAGTTTTATGAAGAACCCCAAATGGGAAGAGCAAAGAAAATATAAACTTAGTAAGTTAAATATTTAATTTAGTTGACATTATAGAGCATTAGTATCTGTTTAAAAAAATATATATGCCACACATTCTTTTTCTTTTTTTTCCTTTGACCCTGGCTTCCAAAATGGTACTTGGAAAAGTGCCACTGTGGGAGGGGCCAAGTTCATATATTTCCTTTCATGACAGGGTGTGGATTGAAACTCACCTGGCCAGCTGTTAGCAGCGACTCTGAAGGCTCTGAGAAGGTAAATGTTAGCAATAAACACTGCAGTGTAAAATTATTTTGAGTAATAGAAACCTGAAGCAAATTTGACTGAAACCAAAAGATATACTGTTTTTATTTAGTCAAATGTCTTTTTAAAAAGAGCAATTTGTTTTATGATGTTTTAAATTTTCTGTAACTGTGGCATTACCTACTGGGAAATATTTGTGATATCTGTCACCTCCCTCAGCCCGCAAGCACCTGGTTAGATGTCAGATGTATGTGATCAAATTCTTAAAAATGTGGATGCTTGAATAATTTAAAAAAATCTTTATGTACTTGAAAGATTCTATTTTATCCTTTTACTAATTTCTGAAATATTAAATGTTATAATAGAATATCTGTATTTTAAGTAAATGAGTTTACGTTTCTCATTTGCTACATAAGTTGGAAATGCTTTTGATTGCATCTTTCACGAGTATTTCTTTGTTTATAGATATTGTTTAGCATATAGTTAGTTATAACCGGGTTTGAATACTGATTCCAGGAGAATAGCTATGTAAAGCTGAAATTTCTTTCTTAGTTTATTAATAGCTTTGGGAAAATTATAAAGATTTTAAGACGAAATATTTTTCGTATATAATTTTTCCCCTACTATATAGAAAAGAACGATTATACTTAGATTAGTTGGGGTTAGAAAAATCTATGTAGTCTAAACATTTACATTGTCACAATGAAGGAAACTATATTTTAGTCGTTAAAGTAGAGATGAGCAGGTCACATAGCACATAGAGCTACAGAAGGCAGATTTTCTGGAGGGATTGGAGGTTAAGTGATAAATCACTTGAGAAGTATTGCAGGCAAAAATATAATATTTTTATTGATATCAAAGTGAGATTTTTCCTTTTTTTCTGAACAAAAATTGTCCATTAGCTCTGTATGACCTACGGTCTTTATTACCTATGGTTCTATGTTATCAAGAGAGGGTGTGAAACCTGATGAGTTCAAAACCCCTCAAATCTCTCAAGATCTATTATCTCTTGAACAATATCAATGACTGACCGAAGTGCCTCAAGTCCTGTGGATTTCACATGGAATGAGTCAAGAGGTGAGAATGTGAATGAAAGACTTGGCCCATGACACATCCTCTGTCATAGAACATTGAGGGATGGGCATAGGCAAATGTCTTAAGTAGAACCAGGTGTACAGCCTGTGGAGAAGAAGAAGGTAGGATGAAGTTTTCTTGGTTGCTAACGTGACCGTGTGGATGTGGCCTGTTACTTTATTTGACCTTAAGAAAGGAAGTTCTACTAGGAAGTGGATAGAGTTGTGGCCTCCCCCGCCCTGCAATATGTTAAGTCCTAATCTCTGGTGACTGTGCGTATGACTTTGTATGGAAATAGGGTCTTTGCAGATGTAATCAAGTTAAGATGAGGTAAAGCTACTGGAGTAGGTAGGGCCCTAATCCAATGAATAGTGTCCTTAGAAGAAAATTGGAAATTTGGATACACAGACAGAATACCCAGGGTAGGTGACCATGTGAAGACAGAGGCAGAGAGTAGAGTGAGTCCTCTGCAAACCAGAGAATGCCAAAGACTGCTGGCAATCACCAGAAGCTGGGAGGAAAGCGTGAAACAGACTTTCTCCGAGAGCCTCCAGAATGAGCTAATGCTGCCAACACCTTGATTTTGGACTTCTGGCCTCCAGAATGGAGGGAGAATACATTTCTGTGGTTCGATCCACCTGTTTTGCAGTAATCTGTTACGGCAGCCCTAGCAAACTAATTCATGCCACCAAATGGAAATAGATCTCTATCTGTATCAATATCAATATCGAAAAAAATTGATATCAACATCAATATCTATACACCAGGATGATGGTGACCTTATTTTCCAGTTTTTAATAACATACTGAATAATCGTATGTGATTATTTCCTGGGTATTTAAAATGAGAACTGTTTACTTATTTTCCTCCGATCATCATTTTCTCTCTCTGTTTTTGGTTTCAGGATATCGTCAGATTCAGGATGGATTCCCTCATTGCAGCAAACACCAAATTTTGCTTGGATCTTTTCCAAGAGATCAGCAAAAATGACGGTCATAAAAACATCTTCTTCTGTCCTCTGAGCCTCTCAGCTGCCCTTGGCATGGTCCGTCTGGGGGCCAGAAGTGACAGTGCGCATCAGATCGACCAGGTGTGGATCCAGCCATTCCGAATCTACTCCGAAAGTCAGACCCCGATCAGACCTAACCCTGCTCTGGCGAGCCGAAACTGCTCATTGCACCCCAGGCTTGCTCGGAGCCTTCATTTATATCCTCACTTTGCTTTCTCTTCAATCCCACTATTCTTCAAGGCTCTATTGATCATCTCCTCTGTGATGCCTCTCCAAATTCACCAGTCCGACAGCTTTTCTCATTCATCTTCTCTGTCTCTGTCTGTCTGCATGTCTGTTGCTCTTTCTCTTTCGCCTCGCATCAAATTTGTCAGAAAAGCCTATTGGAAATAGATCCAGAACCCAGGTGCTTCCCACTACCTCCCTGAAGTCTGATCTGCTACCTCCCTCCTAACCTGGGCACAACTGCCTCAAGGGCGTTCATGCTTCCGCTGGCAGTGTTTTCCACGCAGCTGCCAGAAAGAGCTTTTCAGAACTGAAGTCAGATCTTGCTTCTCATCTGCTCAAAACCTGGACTTTCCATTTCACTAATGATAGAAACCTGAGTCCTTATAATGGCCCATGATTTGGGGATCCGGATTCCAGGTAATCTGGTGACTCCATCTCTCACCCTCCCCCATCCTCACTCGCTCCAGACACACTGACCTCCTGGGTTCTTTGAGGAAGTGTGTCCACTCCCGCCTTAGGGCCCTTGCTGCATTCCTTTGCCTGATGGCTCTTCCTCCAGATGACTGATCTCTAACTTACTTTCTCCTTCAGGACATCGATCAGAGTTTACCTACCTGATCTCTCAGTCTAATGCTGCATACGAGTCCCCAAAGATTCCCCCGGATCCTACTTTTCTCCCACATAGCATTTCCCATCTAACACACTGCATACAGTAATCACTTACTATGTGCATTACTTTTTGTATGCCTCCCCTACTAGAATATAATCTCCTAGAAAGCAGGAATCTGTCCTAGAACAGTGCTTGGTTTGTAGTAGCCACCCAACACCAGTCTGTAGAATGAATGCTTGAAAGCGACAAGAACGACTCCCACAATGAACTCAGGCTCCTAAGGCTGGTCTTACATGTGCCTGAATCTAGCACATAGCACAGGGGTTATGTACGAACACGGATGTTGTCCCTGATGGAAAGGAGTGAATTCTGGGATTAAGGTGGACTGTGTTCAGGGTCATTCTACTTTATTCATTTACCTTGATTTGGTATGTCAAAGGAAACAGCCACTTTCCTCTACACTGTTGCTGATTGTTTTGTTTGACTATGTAATCATCGTCATTGTAAAATTTCGACTTCTTGCTGTTCATCTCGTCTGAGAGACCCCATATCGTCATCATGCAGGTACTACACTTCAATGAATTGTCTCGGGATCAAAGCGAAAAACCTGATCCCTGTCTGAAAAACAAACAACAAGAAGTGCTGGCTGACAGCTCTGTAAAAGGGCGGAAGAAAACGACTGAGCATCTGACTCCGCAGGTGGGACACCATGAACTCCTGCCCTTCTTCTTTACAGACTGTGCCTTCTGGCTGTCCTGTATCTGGCGATGGTTGTTTATCCCCGAACATTAGGTCCTGGCCGTCACTGACAGCAACGGGCAGCAGCGGTAATCCCAGGGGACCCACACTTCCTCTCTGAATGTGTCTTATATATTGTTGGCTATAAGCTCACTTCCTAAAGGGTAGGATCTAGTATCTTCTGCTCGTAATAAAGAAACTTAGCCCAAAGCCCCATTACTCACCTACTCGTGCAGGCCATAGGTGCCCAGGACGGAGCATGGTTGAAGGGCGGTAAGCGGGGAGAGGTCAGCTGTGGGATTCTTACTCGCTCTGTCCACTTTTGCCTGCTTTATTTATTTCCTACTGAAATCTGTACTGACACACCCAACTTTTATTGATTGTCTCATACTGGGAGTAGGAAATGTATTCTCCATGGTATAAAGCCCCTACTTTAGAAATTTTAAGAGGAGCGTGGAGAGATTATCTCTTTCTTCCATCTGTAGAATACAGAGAAAAAGGAGGCACACAACGCACAGAAACATAGTGTGTGCTGCAGAGTCCCCAGCTGCATTTTTCCGGGATGACCTTCTGCCAGTGTGAGAGCTATGATTTCCCACTGGGATGACCTCATTCTTCTCTTCTTTTCAGCTCGCTCCCCCGCACGGTAACGAAGTGAAATGACAGCTTGCTTTGGTGGCATTTTAACTCCTCCGAGACCACATTTTTTTCCCCTTCTTTTGTTAGGAGGGGTCTTCGAAGGATAAGAGCGAACTTCTCAGTTGCTACTTCGGGCAGCTTCTCTCCAAATTAGATCGGATCAAAGCTGATTACACCATGAGTATTGCTAACAGGCTTTATGGAGAGCAGGAATTTCCAATCTGTCCGGTGAGTAAGGCACAGATGATGCTTCAAGCTATCTCATATATCATACTGTTTAAAATTCAACGAGGAGCTGGATTACTCACCTGCTATCTAGAACACTGTGGACTGGTGGGATGTCCAGGACCCACCTTCTTTCCCACACCTTCTCTTGTCCTCCTCCCAGTTTTCAACTTGAATAGTTTACAAGGCTTCTCGTGAGTGGGCTCGAGTGGGTGGAAAGAGGGACAAGTGACTAAGAGCCTTAGGAGCACGTGTGGAGCTGGTAATGGCGTTCTCTCTTGTGGTGTCTTTCCCAGTCATGGTTCCTGGTAGATGCCCTTGGTAGCTCCTCTTCCTGTTGCCCCCACCCCATCCTCACCCTCCAAGGCACTTCTCTAAAATCACCTTTGGTTCCCCAGTCAGTCCCCCACCCCAAGAAACTGTACTCACTTAAGACTTAAGCGGAGGGGTGTAGTAGAAGGAGATCGCATTTGGAACAAAAAGGCACATGTCTCGTCTCTGACTACACTGCTTTGTACCTCAAGGTGAGATTGATCTGAATCTGGGCTTCAGTGTGCTCTGTCACCACTAGAAGGAGCCACATACATGACAGTAAACAGGAGGAGTGAGACCAGTGACAAGTGCGAGATACACATGGATAAGGGCTGGCCTAGTAAGGAGAGGGAATAGCCTACTTTGACCAAAATAAGTAGTTCTCGTACGACAGAAATGTGATTTTATATGCTTTTTAAAAAAAAAAGAACTAGCTTTGTCGAGATACAAATTCACGTATCACACAATTCACCTATTAAAATGTACAGGTCAATGGTTTTGGTTATTAGAGTATTAATTTTTTTAAAAATTGTAAAATATCCGTAACATAAAAAATGTCCACTTTATACAACTTAGTGGCATCAATTACATTCACAATGTTGTGGAATCATCACACTATCTATTTATTAAAAATTTTCATCACCTCAGACAGAAATTCTGTAACCATTAAGCAGGATTTTAATTCTTAAAAAAAAGAAGCATTTTACAGCTAAATCACTCAAGGTACTTGATATTTATCTTGCGATGTTACCACAAATGGAATGTCCAAATAAGAGGATGTCCGGTAGGAAAGCCTTGTGCCGTTGTAACTGTAGATTACTCTGTAAATAAACATTCTATACCCTAAGCTGTCACTGCGACGACCAAATGCCTCTGGCTGATTAAGACTGGGGGCAGGTGGACACAGACACGTACCCACTTTGAGTGACTAGGTGCATCTTTCGCATTACGCTTCTCATGACTGCCGCATGCCTAACTCTCAGCATAGTTACATGATCTTATTGCATTATTTCTACTTATTCTAATTTAACAGGAATACATAGATGACGTGGTTAGGTTCTACCACACGACGATTGAAAGTGTTGATTTCCAGAAAGACACTGAAAAGTCCAGACAAGAAATTAACTTCTGGGTTGAATCTCAATCCCAAGGTAAGCAGAACCAAACACGCTGTAGCTGGTATTCTTTTCCATTTAAAAGAAAATGAGTCAGCCCAGCTTTTCAGATTGCTAGTCTGTCAGGGGCCAGATGCTCACCTGTGTGGACTGGGTCTGGAGCTGCTTCTGTGCGTGTCTCACAATTAACATGCTTAGATATTACAGTAATAACAAGGCTCCTTTGCTCCATCATAAAGGTGAATTGCCATTCAGCCAAGCACAATGCCTGTGGGATGCTAACTACTTTCATTTCTTTTAAAGGATCAATAAAAAGGTTGGGAAGAGAATCGAGCTGTTCAGAGGGACAAGGAAATAAATAAAACCCTTATTCTTATCAACTTCTCACTAGCTATCTAGGAGTTTCTGAGTAAGGGGATTTAGAGATAGTGAAGAGTGGTGAAAATTTGAGTTCAACATAAAAGGAATGTTTTTAATATGAAACTTTCCTTCCAGCTCCATCCAGCTCCCAGCAAAATGGAAATCTCCAAAGGGACTGGACGAGCACAGGGCTCTGAAAGTGGCCATCCCTCATGTCACATTAAACACAGTCAGCTGCCTTGCCTTGCTCGCTGGCAGCCCAGTTCGTCCAACACACTGGCCTGGCCACCAAATCCTCAGCCACGACCTCTCTGAGCATTGATCTTCATCTACCCTCTACTCTTTCTTGTCCTCCTTCTCATCTTTTCTTCGGTGTAACCTAGTTATGCGGCTGTTCCAGATAACATACATCATGCTACTTTAGAATAGTGTCAGTCTTTGTGAAATGCTTATCCCCTGGCCCCGTGCTTAACGTGGTGTAGGACAGGGTTCTTCATTGCTGTGATGCTTGCGTTAAAAACAAGACAGGAACTGTGTGAAACGGGACCCTGACTGTAGCTAAACTGGTCAAGTGGCCTTTGTGTTGATGACTTCTCTGGGTCTCAGTAGTCACGTCTGTAAAATAACGGAGTAGGAGACAGAAGATGTTTCACCGCCACAAAATTCCATAATTTTCTGAAACTATTTTATTTAGTTAATGGAACCCACAATCTCATGTTCTAAACAGTTATTCCGTTTCTTGTTTCGGTATTTCTAATACTTCTAATGCTTTCATTATAGTTTCGTGTTTTCCTTTGAGAGCATTGATCACTATCATTTTTTGAAATGCACCAATGTTTTCAGCACTAAATGTTCATTTGCCTGTAGAATCAAAATCATCTTCCCTCTAAAATATTCACTGACATTGGATATTAGAAATATTTGGGACCCTATTTCTTGGACTTACTACATCTAGTATACAACAAAAATAATTTAAAATAAAAATATTCTTTAATTGAGCTGTAGGAAGTTTCAAATCTACAATAGCTGTCTTAGTGTTTTATATTTACTTGTAATTAGTATGTAAATTCACATCGCCTTAATAAGAACCTACCCAAGCATAAAAGTTTTCAGTACTGCTTTACAAGTTGAATTGAGAACAAGGAGAAGCTAGAGAAGGTTTAAGACAGGGAGTGTATCTTTTAAAAGACATCTCTGATTGGAGGATGGAGAACAGATTAGAAGTGGACAGGAGTGGATGCAGGTGCAGATGGTAGAGCGAGAGCATCATTGTGGAAGACTAAGATGTGTGAAGACTAAGAGAGGTGCTGGTGGCTTGGACCAGGTGGTGTTAGTGGAGATGGTGAGAAGTGGATGGATTTGAGAGATATCGAGACATAGATCAGAGGATTTTACCAATCACTTGGACAGATGATGGATTGTTTAGTGAGAGTCAGAGAATCATCCAAGATGACCCATAACACTTTAACTTAAAATCTTAATTCTTCAGAATGCAAAGCAGAGTCTATGAGCCCAAATAAAGAAATCGTTTTTCTGACACTCCATTCATGCCTCCTTATAATGATGTCAGATATTTTAATGTAATTTTCAAACAAAGCTTTTCCTGCATGGAGATATGCTCTATCTCCTCTCTGTCTCCTGCTCCCCTCATTGTCTTAGGGCTGGGGCACCCCTGCCTGGCCTTTCCTCAGGGGAAGCACCCCAACTCCAAAATTAATTCTCCTTACTCCTTCCACATGCCACAAAACTTCCCCTTCCTTCGAGGTTCCACTCAGTTGCCAAGAGGAAAGCCTGTTCACTAAAAAAATGCGTAGTAAGGTATGATTATCTGGTTTCTCCTTAGTTAGTTAACTCTCCCAGAGTATTTTAAGTGTGGATGATGTCAACGTAATCTGTTGTTATGGGATTTGAATGGAAATCTTCTCGAAGTGGGAAGGTCTTCTCATCTCATTCAAGTTGTGGTATTGGTCATTTGGTATTTGGTATTTGCACACTGAAAATAAGCTATTGCCTGAGAGCATGGGCTTTTCCAGCCTGCCTTAGGCCTATTATTGTGGAAGGAGCCCCAGAGCAGAGCCACGGGTGGGGAGGTCCCAGGACTGATCTTGGCCAGCTTCCCTGCCTTTCGGCTATGTGGCCTCACCTCTCACGGGCTGTCTTTTATTCTTCTATGAAGAAAGGATAACAATACCTACTTTTCATGGGTGACGTGGGATGGAATGAGAGGGGGCATGTAAAAGTGCCTATAAAATAGGTTTTATGTCATTGCCTCGTACATTTATATGCATTTTTACTTATATGTAAACATATACTCTCTGCTGTGATGAATGCATAAGACAGGAAGTTTACATAATAGTTCTTTTTCTCAAGGACATTATAATATCATCAGGTGGCAGGATCTATACTTTGAAGGATAAATCAGAGCATAAGATGTCTGATGACACAGCGATGTAGAGAATGAAAGGAAATTCGTCAGTTACAGCGCCTTGACGTGGATGGTCCACCCCTTGCCTCCACTTCCACCCCACCCAGGACTCTGAGTGCTTTAATTTTCTTGGGTTGGTTTTTGAATGAGACACTCTCCAACGAGACCCTCTCTATTCTTGGGGAGGTTAAGCTGCGTTACAAAAAAATCTGTCTACATAAATACTTTTGATATGATTCATATTCAAGATATTCTCTGGAATCTTTTTTTTTCTTTTTTAAAGGTAAAATCAAGGAGCTCTTCAGCAAGGACGCCATTGACAGTGGGACCGTGCTGGTGCTGGTGAATGCTGTTTACTTCAAGGCCAAATGGGAGAAATATTTCGAACATGAAAACACAGTTGATGCACCTTTCTCTCTAAATGAGGTACTGTATTAGAGCTCATGGTTTTCTCGATTTTCCACTCACGGTTTCCACTAAGAATGATTTACAGTGTGTATACGTAAATCTAAAACTTAGGTCCCTGGGTTACAGCATACACTGATAATCAGAACACTTTGTTGTTAGCAAAAATCAGTATCCGAAGTTTATCAGGCATTTTTGTGCTAGGCACTGCACTGAGCATTTTCCATTTATTATTTCATTTGTTCCCCAAAATAGCATTATGAAAATAGGTGTTTGTTATTATTCCCATTTAGGAGTTGAGGGGGGAAATATGCAAAGTTTACTTAGCTGAATTCATGGGTTAGAATTCACACTTGTGAGCGTTTGCCTCAAAAACCCGTGTTCTAAGCCACCAGGCTGTAAAATAAGAAGAAAGGGAAGAGTCAGACTCCAGCTGACAATTGTTAGTCGTGCCTCTCAAGCGATTCCCGTCCTCCTCTCTAGATGAATGGCCTCCCTACGTGCCGTGGGAGTGTGTCGTGAGGCTTAAGGTACCCGGGCCCGTACCCCTTCCTCTGCTGCGAGCCTGTGGAACAGATGTTGTTCTTCATATGTGGATGATTATCATTTAGCCAAGGCTCCCACTGGCCCTGTGGTGGTGCCATTCGGTCCAGAGGGACTGGGGTGGACGAGGCGTGGAAGATAGAGAAGTGCAGGGCCTGTTTCCTCTGGCTAGGTTGTGAGTAGATGCCTGGATAGATAGTTTACCGACAGATAGTCTTGGGAGCTGAAAAACCCGTTAAAACTACAGAGGAGACAGTGTCGGCAAGGTAAAGGCCAACTGATCAGTGGCAGAGGACTCTCTTAGGTTGGGTCACTGGTGAGGCTCAGAACTTCTGAAGATCTTGCTCATCTAAACAGACTCCTGTTTTCAGAGATGTTGGGGATCATGTGAGTTTTTGAGCATCCTATGACTTTCTACCTCGTTCACTACAGAATGAAAAGAAGACCGTGAAGATGATGAATCAAGAGGGTCTGTTTAGAATTGGCTTCATAGGGGAGCTGAAGGCACAGATCCTTGAAATGCCATACACCCGAGGGAAGCTCAGCATGTTTGTCCTGCTGCCATCTTGCTCTGCTGATAACTTGAAGGGCCTGGAGGAGGTAAGTCTCCATTTTCCTATCTCTGAAAAGTGTTTCATTATAAATCTCTGGAGAGCAGCACAATCTACCATCGACCATCCTGAGGCAGGATTGCCTGAGCTGTCAGAGACACCAAAGAATATATGACTCCGTAGTCGATGAGCTATTTATTTCTCATTTATTTAGAAAATAGCAAATGCCAAATATGTGGGCTACGACTTTCCTATCTAATCTCATTGCTCTTTGCAATCATATTTTTCCGGGCCCAGGAATCTAAATGGTGAGTAACTTGAGAATTGCTACAAATGAAATAGCATTTCCTTTTCCATGAATATCTTGACCGCTGGCCACTTACTCAGACTATTTTGCTTTGCCCGTTAAGGACCCTTTAGCTGAATCCTGCTTTGGGTTGCCTGTGTCTTGACAGCAGTGGTGAGGCCGATACTGGAATAGATTGCTTGTGAGGTGGGAATTAATAAAGGTCTAGAAAGCTCAGATAGAGAGAGTGGGAGAGAGAAAGTGAGAGAGAAGGACTGGTATAGTAATTATGATAATAGCCATTATTCATAATTTATTCTGTGCCCAGATTATGTTAAGTACTTCAAATACATTATTTAGTTTAATCCTTGCAAAGGCCTAATGGTATTATCTCTCTTTGATAGAAGAGATTGAACTTCAACATATTAAGGCTTGGTCAAGCTCACCCAACATACTCAGTCGAGCTTTCACTAGACTAGATGACACTCGTATGTCAGAACCCGAAGAACCCTGAAACTCAGATGGTCCTGTAACCTCTAAAGAGGAAATAAAGAGATCTGCCTGGAGGAATTATAAATGAAATCAGAGTATTTTGAGGCCCAGGGAAAGAACGCGAAGACTGCTCCAGACTGTTGAAATAGACTTGGGCCCTGTAAAGTGTTTGGGGCATTCTTTGCGAGCTCATTATCTGACCTTAAACATTATTTTCTTCCTCTTGTAGCTTGAAAGGAATATCACCTATGAAAAAATAATGGCCTGGAGCAGCTCAGAAAATATGTCAGAAGAAAGAGTAGCCATCTCCTTCCCCAAGTTCACCCTGGAAGACAGCTACAATCTCAATCCTATTCTACAAGACATGGGCATCATAGATATCTTCGATGAAAAGGCCGATCTTACTGGAATCTCTCCAAATCCCAATTTGTACCTGTCAAAAGTTGTCCATAAAACCTACGTGGAGGTAGATGAAAATGGCACCCAGGCCGCCGGAGCCAGTGGGGCTGTCGGCACCACATTGTCTGCACCATCTTGGGTGACATTTAATGTCGATCACCCATTTCTCTTTTTCATCAGACACAACAAAACCCAAACCATTCTCTTCTATGGCAGGGTCTGCTCTCCTTGAGAAAAGCACACTGTCTAATCCCTGGGAGCTGGAAGAAAATGGCAGTGCCATCTTCCCCGGGTGTAGCTTGAAAGGAAACACGGGCATTTGTGTTTTTGCTAATATCTGAAGCCGACCAAATTCCATCACAGCTCCCTTCCTCCAGCCATTGGCCTGCGCTTGTCCTGCTCTTCCCTTACTCCGTAGCTGACTTTCATTTAAGTCCATTACTGCTGAAGGGCTCTTGTTTCCTCCCTAATCCTTCACCACCCCAAGCTCTCAAGCATATAAATTCACCCTCCGTGAACTGAAGGTCAACGTAATTGAGAATGCTGGTGACTTTAAGTTCTCTACCTCCTTATGAGGGACTTCTGAAAGTTTGAATCGTTAGACCATTTCTCTACCTCCTTATGAGGGACTTCTGAAAGTTTGAATCGTTAGACCATTTCTGAGAGATGGCAAACTCAGAACCTACTTTCACATGAGTGACAAGAGAAAATGTTGACAAGAAATGTGTTTTGGAAACTCAGATCTGTTTTATAGCAGTTCAAATTGTGGTGCATCCGTCCCTGGGCGAGATGCCTCTTCCTCTTCCATCTTCCTCTACTGTGTGAAAGATATGCCGTGAGGTGCTTCTCACTCGGGAGAAAGCAGGGCTCAGGGATGGACTTAAGCGAGAACTCAAGGATGGAAAACTGCACCAACCAACAATGATTTTGCACAGAACAGAGGAATTCGTCTCATGAATCTGACAGTGACTCAGGAGAATGGCAAGTGAATTTAGAGACTAGTCTCGGTTTTCCTCATCGCATCTCCCGAGCCGGCATCCTGGAGCACTTCCCTCAGTCCCTTCTTCAGCCCCTTCCGTTCCTCAGAGAACTTTCACCTGTCCTTAGTTGCTCCTAAATACCCAACATGTTGGCATGGGAGCACTGCCCTCACTGTGGACCTCTGCACTCTGGTCACATGAACCTACTTGTCCCCCCGAGGCCTCGGGCTCTGTTACGTTCTGAGGGCAGGCCCAGGCTTGGGTGTGATGCACGAGAAAACCCTCATCTGGAAGGCCGCTGCTTCGTATCAGGCTTCAGTCTCCTGAAAGCCTGAGGCTTGAGGGGTCAGGACTCCAGGACCTGGGACCTTTGTCCTCTGATATGTCTGAGTTCTTGATCTTTGCCTCAGATGAGTGATCTGGAATGACCACTGACATGCCCAACTCAAGAAATCGGTCAGTCTTTCTTCTGCAGAGGCAAATTTCCCTGCTCTGCTTTCTGACCAGCTTTTCCTAGTTGCCACTGTGTTGGTTTGAGTGTGGTGGGGGCAGTGTTGGTAGGTTTATCTCACCTGCTCACATGCTGGCCCTTCCCCCCGGTTCTCTGCATGGGCGGCTTCTTTGTGCTGTGAGAGACCAGTCTCACATTCTTCACACTGGCTTCACGTCATCAAAGCTTCATCATGGTATAAAGAAATTCTCACTGGTAAAGTGAGGTAATTTGAGGCTGCTCTTCCAAATTCTTTATCCAGAAAGCACATCCCACGGGCCAAATGTATCTCAGATAATCGAATACTTAGTGTCTCCTGTGGTTTCTTTTGGGGTTGACATCTTGAGGGCTGATTACACACTGACCTGGCATTACTGCTGGACACTGAGCTGGATAACCATGACCTATACAAAGGTTTGGCGTTGTCCAGTATTGTTTACATTCTTACTCTTTTCCTTGATGGACAAATCTTCTCACTTGTATTGGGATTTCTCAGAATTTTAATCATAGGGGAAAATATATCTAATTATAAAATGAGAAAGAGTGAGATTCTTAAATCTTTCTGTAAATCTGGAAATATATTCTTTACTAATCTTTGATTGATTAAAATGTTTTTTTTCTTAGTGAGTAAAGCACTTTTGTCATTAAAATACGTATGATGTGTTGTTACCTGACTTTTTTAGGGATATAAATTTAACTTAAAAAATTTTCTACCACCGGTACATATATACAATGGCATATTACTCAGCCATTCAAATGAAATCTTACCATTTTCAACAACATGGATGGACCTGGAGGGTATTATGCTGAGTGAAATAAGTCAGACAGAGAAAGACAAATACCATATGATTTCACTGATGTGTGGAATCTAAGGGACAAAATAAATAAACAAACAAAAAGAAAATGGACTTATAGGTACAAACTGATGGTTGCCATATGGGATGGGTGGGGTTGAGGTGCTGAGTGAAAAAGGCGAAGAGATTATGAAGTACAAATTGCTAGTTACAAAATAGTCATGGGGATGTGAAGTACAGCATAGGGAACATAGTCAATAATAGCGTAATAACTGTGTATGGTGCCAGGTGGGGACTGGATTAATCAGGGCGACCACTTTGTAATGATATAATTGTCTAACCACTATGATGTACGTCTGAAACTAATATAAAGTAATATTGAATGTCAAGTCTAATTAGAAAATAAAGACTTGGAAAAAATCCAAATTAATAGACAAAAAAAATTTTTGCACCCACACATATAGAAATGCATAATCTACAAAACTAACGATTCATCTTAGTTGCATAGGCAAGATATATCTTGCTCCAGATAAAATCTCCCAACTTTCCACCATAATTACCTGTGGAGGCGTATGAAAAAGATGGAAGCTCACGACTCTTCTAAAACCGAAAAGACAGCCAATGAGTCATCAGAACATGGAAGAAGTTAATGGGGCTGGACGGAAAGGCTTACTCAGTGGGTTACTGGATCATGTCGCCAGGGTGTCGGTCTGCCCTGTTTCCCGCCCACTATTGCCTTCCTCTGAGTTCGGAAACGCAAGATCTCTGCCCATCTAAATTCCGAAGATCCGCCTCTCCGTTTTGTACCTGCGGTTGTTTCCTAGCCTCTATCTTTCTTATCAGTTTTTTTTTTTTCTGTCTGTAGCCACGTGAAGACTGAATGAAACTCCCCAAGTATGACTCAGAGGAAGGTAAGGACAGGCATTGGCCCTTTCCACACTAGACACTTTAGTTATCACAAGTAAAGTGTTTTTGGCAGGGAGAGGATGGAGAGTGGCAGTGTTTGGGTTTGTATATTTCATCTACTCTTTCCTTTTGGACTGTTCAGAGTGCCAGGCCATACAGGGAGAAGCGTGTTTTAACTTAGTCCAGCAGAACTACTCCTCTAGGTGAGAGCCTATGGGACACTGGGAATTATGCTCAAACACTGGAGCTCTTGATTCTTCATTTTTTTTTTTTCACACCTGGGGGACTGATCCTCCAACATGGCAGACAGAGGCAGAGAGAGCCGACTGCCCTAATGACTAGAAAACCAACCAGAGCATGAAAATCAGGGGAGCAAGTGCCTCCATTTCTAGTTCAAAGTTCTTTCCACTCTTCAATGTTGGCAGAACAATAGAGGCGATGTAGATGCCAAAACAACTGATTCATTTATGCCGACTACAAATATTCTGGTGAAAAGCCCGTGAATGTGAAGCACCCAACAGATCCTCTAGCACTCTCCAATTCACAGGCTCTGGACGTTCTACTTAATTTCAACCCAAGTCATCCTTATGATTTCATACATTACATAATGCATATTTCCTCCTCAAACGCCTCCCCAGTTTTTCCTGGAGCTGGTGCAAGCCAGAACATGTGTTGCTTCATCCGTGATGCTGTTTACTTCTTTTGCGTGTGTGGCATTTTAATTGTTTAATTACAATATTATTAACTTGTGGTGGAGGTCCTGTAACTGGGATGACAGGGCAAGGAAGCCGTGTGATTGTCTCAGTGGATTCCTTTGTTCCCCAGCTGAATGCCAACCTCGACTGTTCTTCATCCACATTACTCATGTTGTATTCTCGTTTTCCCAAATCCACTGTCTTATTCTTGCTTTTTTACTCAGTAAACAACACGAAATTATCCCACATACACATATCTTTCACCAATGTTTTCTCTACACTAAATATTCAATTTAAAAATTCTCATATTCTAATACATCATTTCCCTTCTAACTAATGTTAATCCATAATATGCATTAAACATATTCAGCTACAGGTGAATAAGAAGAATTTAAGAAGCAATTGAATGCCCAACAGTGGGGGCTGATAGAAACCCTCACACCCTCTGTTGATACACATAGATTCTAAATAGATCAACCCATATCCAAGATTAAATAAATGGGAAAAAAAACTAGCGAGTTATGAAAAAGTAGTGCCAAATACAGAAGGGATACATAATAGTATCGACGAAAAATGAGCCTGCAGAAAAAATCTCTGTCAAGACCCAGAAGAGGGCTTCAGGAAACTTTCTGCATTGATCAATAGTATTTAAGAAGGAAAAAAAAAAAGGCATGCTAGCTATGGAATTGGAATGAAAATCCATGAAGATAAACTGTGATAAAATGTGAAAGAACTGAGTGAAATGTAAAAATGCTATGGAACTAAAAATACAATAGCAGAATTTAAATAGATTTTAGAGGCAGTAAAGAAGTAAAACATGCACTGGAAAATTTAGTTTTTGATGAACAGGGTGTACTTCAGCGTCTCTCTCTTAGAATGAATAGGAAGTAATAGGAGGGAAATTTCATAGCTACAAAGAGAAAAGAAAGTAAATCCAAGAATTATGGTGTTTCTGAGAAAGGAAGCAGATTAATTAGCATGAAATCAATAATCAAAGATAAATTTAAAAACTTTATTTTCATTTCCCTAATAGCTAGTGAAGTCGAGCATCTTTTCATATATCTGCTGGCCATGAGTGGCATATAAAACAAAGCAACAAATGAACAAGAAAAACAGAGACTCATGGACGCAGACAACAGTTTAGTTGTTAGTGGGTAGAGGGGACGGGAGATGGATAAGAGTAAAGGGTGTCACATAAACATAAGGTGACGGACGGAAATGTGACTTTGGATGGTGAACTCACAATGCAATATACATATGATGTATTATTGAATTGTACATTTGAAACCTATGTAATTTTATTAACCAATGTCACACCGATAAATTTAATAAAAAAAACTTTCTTAACTTAGATAGTCCCCTGATTA